AATATCCCAAGAATTATAAATGGTGTACATAACCGAATCTGACTCTCCCTCTTTTGTGAAATAACTAGCATTTCACTAAAAAAAGGGAATGTCATATATTTAATTTACCATATTATTACGAGGTTAAGGCATTGATTTATCTGTGACCCGCACATATCGTCCAGCAATAAAATCTTCTTTGACACATCTAAAATCCTATGACCAGCATATGGAAGAAAGGTTTGTACTGAAAAAGAAAACAAAAGGAACCACAAAGAAATAGCTCTTATAACATATTATTTGTCATTAATATGAATGTTATTTTTCAATGAATTACTTTCAATTCATTTTCACTTTACAAGTCCTTTTAAGCGTTATCAACATATTCAACTGATAAGTTGTAATTTTTGGGGCCCTTTATATCTTACTGTTCGGTGTGAGCCAAGGCTCCGTGATGAAGTACTTTGACCTATTATGGTTTACTTTTATAAATTTTGACTTGGATGGAGAGTTGTCTCAATGGCACTCATACCACATCTTCTTATATCAATAAAATGTTGTTTTTTTTTTCAATTTGCATGATGTAATATTTTTAATCAGTACATAAATAAGTATTTTACTAACCGGCATATGTCTCATTAGTAAGTAAACCCTGCAATATTTCACCAGATATGTTGGACTCCGACAAATATTCCTGAAACATTCCCAGTCCTGAAACACAGAAATATAATCCATTGTAAAGAATAAATTTGATATCTATATGTCTGACTTTATTGAATATTCCACACGTTCCCGTGAAATTACATCAAAAGAGAAAAGTCAGACACCTTTAAAGCGGGTAGTAATTGGGTATCCCACATGACAAATGACAGTAAAATATTTGTTCGAATAACCTTAACGATAAATATTTAACTCCATTTGATGCTAACGGTAGCTACAAAATGAGATTTGACGAATGACAATAAAAAATAAAGGCTCATTTGATGCTAACTGTAGCAAGTAAATGGAAGATTGGTGATACAAAAAGTGACTGTTGTTTAACGTCATAGTTCAAGTGTCCCAAATTGTATGTTGAAATGTCGCAAACTCTCATCCTTGTCTCATGGGTTTTCGTGTGATTAAGAATGCATTGTGACATCACAATTTCCACTGAAAAAGCAAGCATAGTACGAATTTATATGACCTACGTAAACATATGATCTGACCATAAATAGTAAACAGATTTGGGTAAGTGATTTAATTCCCTGAAACATAACAAGTGCCAAGAATGAAAAATAGAAAAGCAATAGCCTAATTTATCATGATTACGCTCCTTATTCAATTACTTCATGTCATTAAAAGATTAAACACGTTATTTTAAATAAAGAAACAAAACTTGTTTTATATCACTTACTGTGAAGGAACAAAGCATTATCAGTTTATTATTAATAATAAGCAATACAAATGTTTCATATGAACTAACCAAATTGAAAGAAAACTTGCCAGGAGTCAACTGCAGATTAGGTATCTAGGTTATAAGGATATCAAATCTTGTATGATCATTTCTTTCTAAAATATGATTGTTTAAAAAGGGGGCACTTATTTTTTTTCAACTAAATTATATAGTAATGTCTAATGACTTTTGTTCGCTTAAAACAAATAGAAAGATGCCAAATATTTTTAAAACAAATAAAAAACCAAGTTAGTTCGAATATTTAACAAAAACAATATATGATTTGCTAAACTTACCGTTCTGTGTACTGACGTTACAGTCACTCGAGTCAGTTTTCATATTGACGACGACGTTCATTTTCTTACTTCCACTTGCGTTTTGGTTTGATCGCTTAATCTTAAAAAAGAAATATGTTCCTGATTATTAATTGCTACCAAATTGGGGTGTTTTAATAGAAAAAGTGTCAAGGTAAACGATTATTGACGTGAAATTTCGGTTCGAATTACTTATCTGGTTGTTTATATTCTTTGAAGATTTCAAACGTGAAAGTCAAGGACGCAGTAACCGGAAATAAATCTTCACTGCGCAGGTGAGAGAAATGGGAATCTCCTTTTTCATTGGATAGTAATTTTATAAATTTCTGACGTCAGGAACATATTTCTATTTCTGTTTGAAGTGGGTAATCCTCTGGAAAAAAACCGTGCCGCCGGCAACGTTTTCATTGGAAATGCGTCGCGATTGATCAAATATTACGTTCGACTTCATTTTAAAATATTATATAAAGTTATTCTTTTTGATAAACTTTATATTTTTCTTATATTAAGGTTAACTTTTTATTCTTGATGGTGGCAAAAATCCGACAAAACAACCCGTTTCAAATGTGTATATTTTGAAAAATATCGCGACCGGAAAACAAAATGGCGGACGTAAATACAATAAACTGGCCTCTCTACATAGAGATCATAACTGGGAACCAGTATGTAAACAAAATTAATTATCTATGAATATTCTATATCTCCCCAAAAGAGGTGTGGTTTGAGAAACAGCTGTATTTACAAAGTGCAACCTATACAAACATTTATTCCAATAGAAAACTCTCTAAAAACACTTTTTCTCACATTAATACTTATTTATCAGAATTATAGCCTTAAAGAAATTACTGCATAAACTCTAAGTTTTCTTTTACTGTACATTTTATACCCCCTCCCCTGTTTCATTTTTTTAAAGAATTTGAAAACAAGACTTTAATTATTGCCAGCTTACCCTATTTGCATGTTTTCTGACATGAAATGCCTAGAACCTGTTTAAAACTGTTCTAATAACATATTGAAAGCATTTCAGAATACTGTAAATGTAATGTTTAGCAGTCAATCATTTTAACATTCAAGATTATATAAAGTATCCAATCCTGCCTGTGTCTCCAGTCCACATTTTACTGGTATGCCTATTTGTGAATGAAAGTTCACAATTTCTGCCTCAAATGGTCAGTTTAGAATTCTTGTCACAACAGTATCATCTCTAACCATATATCTGACATAATTTAGCTAATATATGAGCTAAAAGTGATAAAACAAAGCCATATTTGCAATAGTTGTATGTATGCAGATACCAGTCTGATGTATAAATTCACTTAAAATTTTATAGAAATGACTGCTAACATCTGATTTTTGCATAACTTCCAAGCACAGTTATTGTTTTCTATATAAAGACCTTTAAAATCATAAAATCACAGCATTACAAGTTAAATTATTTGTTTTATGACCCAGGGGGTAGGCAATTTTTGGGGCCTCAAATTTCCTAAATTATTCTGCTGTTTCTAGCAATATGGAATATTTAGTACATATTCAGGATAGAACACACTATTGTAAGTTTAGTTGAGATATTTTTGTATTTCTAGCTTGTATTTTTTATGCCGCAAAAACATGAGAAAACAAGTATGTGTCCATAGTACACAGATGCCCCACTCGCATTATCATTTTCTATGTTCAGTGGACCGTGAAATTGGGGTCAAAACTATAATAACGCATTTAAATTAGAAAGATCATATCATAGGGAACATGTGTACTAAGTTTCAAGTTGATTGGACTTCAACTTCATCAAAAACTACCTTGACCAAAAACTTTTACCTGAAACGAGACAGACGGACAGACGGACGGACACACAGACCAGAAAACATATTGCCCCTTCTACTATCGTAGGTGGAGCATAAAAAAGAGTATAAAGGTGTTCAGCTTAGAAAAAAGTGAACACACTGTTAAACAGGGATAGTATTGGCAAACCAAACATATTAGATTCATATGGATCACTAATATAATACTGATCTTTGTACATAATAAACTGTTGACACAGAGATATGTTTCACCTTTCTATATAAAACTTGATAGTATAATGCAAATATTGAATCCAAATGGCAATATTCAAACATGTAAACTATGCAAAACATTCAAAGTCAATGACCCATGATTTATGGTGCAGGACCAAATAATCCAATGGAAATGAGAAATGCCAATGCTTATAAAACTGCATACCAAATATGATTGACTTATCATGAGTGGTTCCCTCTTTTACAATAACCTAAACACAAACTTTAATTTGTAAATAATGTAAAAGTTTCAAAGTTGAAGAACCATGCTGAGGGGGTGGGGCCATATAACAACCATGAAAAAGAGACTTGCAAATGATTATACAACTGCATACCAAATATCATTGACTAGTAACAGAAGCAGTTCCTGTTAAACCAGTCATTCCCAAGGTCGCTGGATATTGGGCAAAGTCCAGTAAAAATTGGTTTGGTCCAGTTAAGTGATATGCATTACTGGACCAAATGACCAGCAAAATTTTTGATTTTCATTTGTCCAAATCATATGTGAAAATGTCCAGTAAAAAAGAGTCTGGTCCAGCTGAGAAGAATGGTTTACTGGACCAAATGTCAAGTTGATTTCTCAAAGCCTTGGGAACCACTGCTTAAACTGATCTAATCAAAAACATAACATGTAAACTATGCAAAACATTCAAGGTCAATAGACAATGACTGAGGGGGCAGAGCCAATAAATTTTTGGAAATGAGATGTGACAATGCTAATGCATCTACATTCAAAATATCACTGACGTACCACTAGTGGTTCCCCTTAATCACAAACTAATAAATGTAAAAGTAAGCAAAAGTTTCGAAGACTGTAGACATGATGACTGAGGGGGCAGGGTCAAATAATCTCCATGGAAATGTGATATGCCAAAGCTAATGCATCTACGTACCAAATATCGTTGACCTACCACTAGTGATTCCTCTTAAACTGACCTAATCACGAACTAATTACATGTAAAGTTACATGTAGCAAAAGGTTCAAAGTCAATAGACCATGAATGAGGGGGCGTGTCCAAATAATCTCCATGGAAATGAGATGTGCCAATGCTAATACAACTGCATACCAAATATTATTAACCTACCACTAGTGGTTCCCCATAAACTGACCTAATCACAAACTATACATTGTTGATGCCGGAGCCACCGCCAATGCTGTCGTTGGAAATAGCACACCTAAGTCTCACTTTAAGACTAGTCAAGGCGAGACAAAAACTAAATTGTTACCTCTACAGCCCCTTGTAAAGATATCCTCTAGTATTATACAAAGTTCTGTTAAAATAGGACTGTTGTCTGTGATAACATCTTTCTTTGTCCTAAGATCAAGTACTATTCCTGGAAATATATCCAAAAGCATGTTATAAAAATAAAACCAGAGCTGCAGATAAAAAATTGTAAATTGGGGTTTCTACCCACCACTTTTTTTTCTAATGAGAAAAATATTGTTTTACTTCAGAAAAAGGTCAAATTGGATTTTCAATACCATTCTCTTGAATATATCGGGGTTTACACCACAATCACCTGATTGTCATGATTGTATTGAGTTTTTTATATTCACATTAATCAATTGAGACATGCCATTATTTATGTGACAAATGAAGAACAGATATATTATTACAGGACATGAAGACAGTACAAAACCCCTCATTGCAAGCAAAAAAGACACCCAGACTAAGAGCTTCGCAAATTGCATGATCCTCAATGCAGTGGGAGCCCCCATATTCGCTGTGACTGATAGATCCGCTGTAAACATACACTTGCGCAGTCCCAGTGACAGACATTTCTGTAAAATATACCACTTTTAAAACCATTTAGATTGGGGTATCACGAAATGAACCAATAAAATTCGGTTTTACAAATGAATAATCTTTCAACTCGTACATTCCTTTTCTATAAACAGTGTGTGTTTACATTTAATTATGATGAATTTTACATGTGTTCGGAATGCGATTAAAACAATGGCGATGAATGGGCTTCTTTGTTCAAATCGGATAGCGAAAATGAAGAATTTGAAGGATTTATGCAATTAGAAAGCAAAATTGGAAGTATAGGAAGGGATAGTTTAGTTTGTCGGAACACGACTGCGAGGCTTCCGAGGATGAAGAAGCCAAACATGGACAAATAATTTGAAAACTTTTTACATCTGTTTACGGCAGCTTTCACTTAGCTTGATAAGGAAAAGAAAGAAATTGATTCGGTATTTGTTTCATTTTTCAATTAATATACATGTACATACAATAAATACTGATTAATTAAACATTTAATTAGAGTACTCATTACACAGCCTTAACAATTTGTGAAAAATTCTCTCACTGCAAATTATCTCTGGTAGTTAACCTACAATTCAGCTGCAGTAGCTAACTAATCAGCTGTGTGTAGTAGTGAGCTGTAAAGGTACCTGTGGTAGATAAGAAGTTAATACATCACATTAAAACATGAATATAATTGAAATTAAAGAAAACAAAAAAATAACAGAATATGGAAAAAGGAGGTTGGGCCAAAAAAAAATGTCTTGTCCTTTCATTATGTTAATGTTTTTTACATAATGATTTAAAAAATTGTTTATATTTACTTTTTCACAGATTGCTTGCAAATCAAACATTTTTTAGATCAGTGCCTGCCTAAATATATTTTGTGAGTAACAATAAAAAAGTGATAGTATAATGCCACCTACAAATTTCTGTATGTTTTTATCAACCGTATTTTAAATCAACTTTAGCCGCATGACCATGTATATATTATTGGTTGTTATACAATGCGGACATTTCTAGTAACAGGAACTGCTACCAATTTATGTATTCTTCTAACCCAAATAATGCAGTCCCTCTCTGTGATCGACTCTCACACTCCTGAGAGCCTCTCTCCCACTCGTGAGGACCTGAATTCTTTATAGGATAAATACATGTCAAAAATCAAGGATTTTGATTAGTGCTCAATGGGTAAGATATGTGATCGAGAATGGTAAATCCAGAGCTACAATTCTGAATCACTGATTGGCGATTTTCCATTGACTGAGTCTGAGGCCTTCGAGTGTTAATGCAACCATCATAGAGCAGTAAGATATAATGTCTGAATTATAAAACATGGAAAACTACTGGTATCCTGGAAAACGAATTATGAAAAGTTGCTTGTAACCCTCTGCACAGCCCAGTAATTAATTGCAGTATGCTCATGATTCCATAAGTTGGTCAAGAACCCTAAAGGGCAGTAAAGCTACCTAACTGTGAACCGTGGGAGTAGATTTTTAACATGGGAAAATAACTGAAAACAAACACTGAAACAACAACCTTTCAGTCTCTTTAACAGAGGATCATGCAGTGGCATTACATCTGGATGAAAATTTCAGCATCGGCTGCTACGGAAGTTGATGTCAGCATCATTTGAAACGTTATAAAAGAAATCTGGTGGATTCGAAGATATATCGCTTCGCTTCTTAAATGTTATAATTTGTTTCTTAGATATATACTGGTATATTCAATAATATCTAATTCATAGTTTGGAAACAGAAATTGGGTAAAATCTGTTGCACAAGGCATGCATGTCATTCAGAGTTACTCTACATGTAATTGAAGTTCCATTGAAACTGATAATGATTCATGTACTTAATTTAGCTAGACCAAGAGCTGAAGTTGTTTCCCTTGGTTTGATTGTGACTTTGCTAAAAAATGACCACTTTTGTATTATTAGGAATTATTGATGAGCCATGTAGTTCCTTGCAAATTAATTGGTCATCAAATAAAATAGGTGGACACCCCGTAAGATTTATCTCAATTAATATGGAAAGTAAAAATGTTATCGGGTCCTTTCGCACCCTGTTTTCACACAGTCACTTGTTTCTATCCATGGCCGGCATGGGAAGGTCGACTACCCATATATAATAGATAGTCGACCTTCCCATGGATAGAAGCAAGTGCCTGTGTGTTTTTATACAGATTGAATTAATATATAGATTTGCTTTAGATGTATTTATCAAAATATTTATGATTTTATGAATAGTTAAATAATTTTTTTTTTGTTTTTAGTCGATTTAAAATTAATAATTGGTAATTATTTAAGATTTACACTGTTAAATTGGTATTTACAAAATTATGCTGCACGAATGTTGGAAACTCAGACCAACTGGAACGTTCTATAGAGTCAATTAGGACCATTTATAATGATAACTCAGACTTTATAATGATACATTTTTGTAACTCAGACAAAGTATCAAAAGAGGATTTGAATTAGTTAAATGAAGCATTATACATCTTAAGTCAAAAGAGTGTTACACCTTTTGGAAATTCCGCTATTTAATATTCTATATAAAAACACAATTTTGTTTAAAATTCTACTGAAGGTATTTCTTGTCCAAATTGAATGATTTTTTTTTCATTAATTACAGAAATGTCTACAGTTTCTGGCAAAAATTATGAAATATATTTATAATATATATTTTAAGGGAAATCACTGGTTTAACCCTAATATGAATTTCTGCACGAAAAAAATCATATGGCTCTCAAACTAGTTTAACCCCACCACATTCTGTATGCATGAGCCTGTCCCAAGTCAGGAGATTGTAATTCAGTGGTTGTTGTTTGTTGCTGTGTAAAAAGTAAAATAACAATAATGCCAAACTGCAAGGGAAATTCAAAATGGAAAGTCCATTATAAAATGGCAAAATCAAAAGCTCAAACACATCTAACATGAGTAAGAAATGGAAAACAACTGTTATATTCCTGACTTGTAACATATTTGTTTTTCGTTCATTATTTTGTACATAAATTGTTAGTTTTCTTGTTTGAATTGTTTTACATTTGTCATTTCCGGGCCTTTTATAGCTGACTATGCGTATTGGGCTTTGCTCATTGTTGAAGGCCGTACAGTGATCTATAGTTGTTAATTTCTTTGTCATTTGGTCTCTAATGGAGAGTTGTCTCATTGGCAATCATGCCACATCTTCTTATTTTCATACATAGGAAAAAATTATACTTAATTTCAATATTGAATACAAATAATGATTTCTCAGTTAAGACATGTCATAAAAATAATTGATAATAACCATAAAAATCTGTACTGTGACATTTGTGAGTTTAGCATTAAAAATTTCATCAAAATTGGACCACAAATTAGTTTTCTACAATGTTTTAAAACACATGTTTTTATATGAAATAATGGTATTAAATTAACGGTACGAGTTGTCTTTTTTTTTGGTCATTTTTATAGTCAAAACAGTCGTCAATCGATACTCTCCTTTTATTCTTTGCATTATAGACAGTCTGACTTCTCTTCAGCCACAGTCTTTTTCGTTGAAGACACCAATTAAATCATTTATATACCATGTATACATGTAGTAAAAACTCATTTTATACTTCGTCTGAGTTGGCGTTAATGAAGGTCCAAGTAGACTTATAGACAGTCTGAGTTGACTTTATAGACGGTTTGAGTGAACTTATTGATGGTCTGAGTTGTCTTCATAGACAGTTTGAGTTTGTCTTTTTTGAAGACGGTTCTGAGTTGTCCTGCACCCAACTGCTTAACCATACAAATTCCCTTTAAAGAGTTTTTAAAACACTGTTTTTCTTTTTAGCACTACATTTGTACTTCTTGCAACTGTAAAAGATCAGGACAAAATTGTTTTCCTAAATTACTTGTTACATCCTCAGTTCATTGAGAACAATTTTGACTGAAGCGATCAAGATACTCCTTATAAGAGTTATTTCCCTTTATAAAATTGAGAATGGAAATGGGGAACATGTCAAAGAGACAATAACCCGACCAAAGAGAAGAAAACAGCTGAAGGCCACCAATGGGTCTTCAACACAGGGAGAAATTCCCAGTCTTCAGCTGGCCCCTAAATAAAAATGTGTACTAGTTCAGTGAAAATGGATGTCATACTAAACTCAAAAACATCTAAATGAACTAAAATTAAAAAAACATACAAGACTAACAAAGGCCAGAGGCTACTGACTTGGGACACGCGCAAAAATGCGACGGGGTTAAACATGTTTTGTGAGATCTCAACCCTCCCCCTATACCTCTAGCCAATGTAGAATAAACAAACACACAGCAATACGCACAGTAAAACTCAGTTGAAAAGACGTCCGAGTCCGATGTCAGAATAAGTAACAAAAGAAACTTAGCAAAATGACAATGATACATAATTTAACAAAGGACTACTAGCAGTTACTGACATGCCAGCTCCAGACTTCAATTAAACTGATTGAAAGATTATGTCTTCATCATATGAATGTATTCAACATTTAAGTGAAATGTATTAGTAACTGGTAAACCATAAGTAATAAAGACCTAGGGTATTTTGATTTGAGGTCCTTGGTCCTTTAAAAAGAAAATGCGGTCATGGTAGACATGGTCAAAGCTCGATGTCCTGTTGTAATTTTTTACTGTTTAATTTTACTAGTTATTATTACTCCTCAGAAAATATAAGAAATATCTGCAATAGATTTCTACTTTATTGTTAGTAAAGACTTGTTGTAATAAAAAAAGGTTGAAAGGTTACAGTGTCATTCAATAAGGGTTATCTCCTGGAAAGTCTAAAATAAGAAGTATGATGTTATAACTCATTTACACAGAAGAGACCTAACATCTTTTGTTGGGTAAATATCCTTACAGCAATACAAGTTTTCAGGAATCTTTTCCAGGATTGGATAATACCTCAAACAAGCCCATCATGTTCAGAATGTAATAAACCAATGGTACTTGTTGTACAACTTTACTGTCCTTTAGATGGTTCAGTATACCACAGGACACTATATGCATTTACATGTGTCAACTGTAAGGGCAATAAGTAAGTACAATACTTTTTATTTCTAGTCTCAATATGAAAAAAGGTTAAATATTTCTTAAATTTTCTGTTCATTGCAAAACCTTTCATAATTTTGAGTCTTCAATGCTCTCAATAACTACGTACTTTATTTGGCCTGTTTAACTTTTTTGATTCAAGCATCACTGATGAATCTTTTGAAAACAAAACATGCGTCTGGCATACACAATTTTAATCCTGGTATCTATGATGAGTTCACATAGTTCATTCATTGCACTTAATTTCCAAAGATTTTTCTGAACTTTTCCAGTTTAAACTCTATTTTATCTTTTTTTGTCCTCCCTGTTTTTTTTTCTATAATCTTAGCTAAAGCATTCCACATTATTCAGTAATATTGATTACATGAAGTATGAAGAAAGGTGCTAAGGTCAATTTTTCTAAGGATGCAAATTTTTATATACATTTGTATGATTACAAAATTAGTATATATTTTTTTGATGTGGTTTAGAAGTTATTGTCATATTTTGTAAGGCACAATTGTTAACTTTCTTTTTAGATTTCTTTTGTTCTAGTTGACATTCCATCATCAATATGCATTAAAGATTCTTGCAACTCGATCTGGATTGCAAATGGCAATTGTAGTCCAATCAATATCAAATGAATGAGAGACCCAAATTTATAATGTGGCAAATGTTTTGTTTTTACTAGGTATCGAATGTTTATCTTTCATCTAAGTTTTACCCTTGTCCGTCTGTACGTACGTATGTACGTCCCAAAAAAGGTTTCCGTTCTCTAACTTTAGTTTGCCTCAACCAAATGTTATGAACTTATACACAATGCTTATTACCACAAAACACAGATCAAATTTGAATTATGGTAGCCTCACTTTTACCGTTCTAGAGTTATGCCCCTTTACAAATGGAAAAATTGCTGAATTTTTCATTTCCGTTCTCTAACTTTAGTTTGCCTCAACCAAATGTTATGAAACTTAAACACAATGCTTATTACCACAAAACACAGTTCGAGTTTGAATGATGGTGGCCTCACTTTTACCGTTATAGAGTTATGCCACTTTACAAATGGAAAAATTGCTGAATTTTTCATTTCCGTTATCTAACTTTAGTTTGCCTAGACCAAATGTTATGAAACGTATACACAATGCTTATTACCACAAAACACAGATCAAGTTTGAATTTTGGTGGCAACACTTTTACCGTTCTAGAGTTATGCCCCTTTACAAATGGAAAAATTGCTGAAATATTTGTTTCTGTTCTCTAACTTTAGTTTGCCTCGACCAAAAGTTATGAAACTTATGCACAATGCTAATTACCACAAAACACAGATCAAGTTTGAATTTTGGTGGCATCACTTTTACCGTTCTAGAGTTATGCCCCTTTACAAATGGAAAAATTGCAGAATTTTTCGTTTCCGTTAATGAACAATGCTTATTACCACAAAACTTAGATCAAGTACATATTTAGGTAGCATCACTTTTACATTTCTTGAGTTATTTCCCTTTATAACATTATATGCAAGTGGGGGCATCATCTGTGTCCCATGGACACATTCCCCATTTATTTTCCTGTTATTTTGTTGTATTCAGTTTCTTATAAGATTTACCTCAAGTGTTGGCACCAGTGCCTTATCGCACCATGACTAATACTGTATCATTGTGCTATCTGAGTAGATTAAATAATAGAATGGTTTTTAAATGTGGTGCTTTTATTTTAGGGAAACTGCTATTTCTAAACCCAAGGTTGTTTGTACATTCATGTACATTGATGTAATACTAAAAAGAAAACTGCTGGCTGTATGAAAGCAGAATTGAATCATTTTGATATAACAATTTTGAGAGATAATGGTTCATATATCAGTTCTTATTCATGTTATTGTTCAAATGAGATAATTATTTATATTTTAGTAGTCACTGTTCATAATACAATGTAATAGATCATTGCTCATAATACAATGTAATAGATCATTGTTCATAATACAATGTAATAGATCATTGTTCATAATACAATGTAATAGATCATTGTTCATAATACAATGTAATAGGCCATTGTTCATAATACAATGTAATAGATCATTGTTCATAATACAATGTAATAGGTCATTGTTCATAATACAATGTAAAAGGTCATTGTTCATAATACAATGTAATAGATCAATACAATGTAATAGATCATTGTTCATAATACAAAGTAATAGATCATTGTTCATAATACAATGTAATAGATCATTGTTCATAATACAATGTAATAGATCATTGTTCATAATACAATGTAATAGATTATTGTTCAAATATCAGATCTTTGATAGTTTCTGTTTAATTTATTCACAAATTTTAAGACTTTGGGATTAAGAGCTTGGCATATTGTACGAACGCTTTTCTATTCATGCTATTGTCGAAGAGTGTATGGTGACCCCTACATGACTGGATTATTTGTGTCATTAGCTTGCTGTATCATTGATGTCATATCTCTAGTTATTCATATTATTAGATACATCCTTTACCTTTCTAAAGAATTTCAATATTTTTCAAAGATATCATATTTTTGTAAAACAATACCCGGTACCTATTTCAAGGGAAAAAAAGCACTTTAATCAGTTGAATAACCTCAAACACTTAAACCAGTTAAATAACCTTAGAATTCAAGCTAGGATAAAATTGAGAATGGAAATGGGGAATGAGTCAAAGAGACAACAACCCGACCAAAGAGCAGAAAACAGCTGAAGGCCACCAATGGGTCTTCAATACAGCAAAAAAATCCAGCACCCGGAGGCGGTCTTCAGCTGGCCCCTAAACAAATATGTGTACTAGTTCAGTGAAAATGGACGTCACACTAAACTCCAAAACTTATAAATGAAATAAAATTAAAATTATACAAGACTAACAAAGGTCAGAGGCTCCTGACATGGGACAGGCGCAAAAACGCAGCAGGGTTAAACATGTTTTGACTTTTGTGAGATCTCAACCCTCCCCCTATACCTCTAGTCAATGTAGAATAAACAAACACACAGCAATACGCACAGTAAAACTCAGTTTAAAAGAATGCATACTATTTGTTTATAAGCATTTTAAAGGATTATCTTAGAATGATGCACACTAGTAATTATAGGATTATTTATCCCAAAATTCAAATATAGAAAATTTTTCAACAAGCATGACAAGTGACAGAACAAGAAATTAATTCATGAATGCACATATCACATCTGTCTAAGTTAATTGTCAGTATTGTACCCTCATGGGTTGAATATTCTTCCATGTTTGAATTCTTGGATTAGTTTTATTACATTGGCTTTTTAATCATGTTAATAAAGTAGAAAATGCATTCTCAATTTGTATTTCGTTGCAACCAATTAAGTAATTAGTTTTCTTTTGTTTTTCTTTTCAAAAAGATGGACAGTTATACGTCAACAAACACAGAGCAAAATTGAAAGTAAAGCAATAGCAAAAAAGGTATCATCTACTAAAATTGATAATGATTGGGGCGTTAAAACAGATGATTGGGGAACTGATATGGATGATTGGGGCGTTGAAACAGATAATTGGGGAACCGATGCAAAAGATTGGGGAGGAGAATCTAACCTAAATGGCCTATCTGATAACACATTGGACACAGAACAAGTAGATTCAAATAACACTGAGTCATTTGCTGATAAAAGCAATGAAGAATGCTTAAGAAGCAATATGGATTATGATCCTCAGTTAGTAACTTGCTCAGACTTAAACATACCTTCAAAATCAAGCTTTTTAGCGAATAACACTGGTAGCATGAACAATGATGAAGAAGAATTAGTAACAGGATTATCAAATATAGAAGTTGATGGTACTGAGAATTCTATGAATGTCATAGTAGAAGATGATATGGTTGATACTGACCGATTAAATGAGGTGATGTCAGTTATAAAAGAGACAGCTAACAGCCATGTGAATCCTTTACCCAGCCAACTGTGTTTGCTTTCATTTTATGTCAGTGTTTTGGAGGAACCAGAAGATAGCTTGGATTCAGCAGAGGAAAAACATATAAAACAGTTACTAAAAAGTTATGAGAGGGAGCAAGGAGCTGTTGATGACGAGGTGCAGGCAAGGTATGAATGTTTGTTTATACCTAACTATTGATACAATCATTGGCAGTTCAATTTTTAAAGTCAAAAGGATCACAGACTAACTTAGTTTTTTAATATTTTTGAAATTTGAAACACATGTTTCTAAAGTAACAAACATTGATCCAAAGTAACAAACATTGAAAAATGACATTTAAGACAGTTGAGGACAAATTTCATTGAGCTGTTTACCGCTACACTAGAAAGTGATAAGGCATGTTGAAACTTAGTTTACCAATTAATAGGTACAGTATGCTAACAGTAAAACCAAACAACACTGAAACAAACATGAGCTGACTGTAGGAACCACATGTATTATAAAATACATCTCAAATCTGGATCAAAATATATATATGCTATATAGAAATATTTAAAGTTGAAATGCGTGTAATATTATACACGAAAAAGGGGGAGAATAAATAAATCAACATGCAAATCAAATAAATAATGAAAAGTAATGTTTATAAACAATTATTTCCTTTCAGAGGCAATACCGGTAGTAGTGCTGGTGAAAAATATGAGAAAGCAACTCATGTTGATAATTATTTTCATAAATTTTCCAAGAGAATAGGAAGATATTCATCACAGATAATCAGGTCAGTTTATTGAACAGGGCATTTAGACAAAAATTAAGTACCATTTTTATTGTTTCAAACATTTATAAAAGCAGAATAATGAAATGAATTATCAGCAGTTAGTTTGGTTCAATTTGGTCAAAATAAGATCGAAAACATCGCAAATGTATTATTTACTTGCAAGTCAATAATTCAACCTCAGTTGAACCCCTATTCATATAACCATATATCTGACCTTTATCTGAAGATAGATTACGCATGCCCTAAGCGTGTTCAGTTATTTAAATGAAAAGAATGTTAACATTGCAAAGTGAAACAAGGGAGCCACTATAAAAATTGACATTTCTTTGACCGATTCAGCCCATAAGAAATCATTCATATCTAGGTAAAATGATGATTTACATTTTTTAAATATATGAAATGAAATCAAACAGACCTGGGAAAAGCGTACTTACAAAACTCCAGATGCTTCTCTGTCTATTTATATTTATATTTATGTTTATATTGGGTTGAATGACTATCTGCAGTCTTGGGGAGGGGGTGGGGGGGTGGGGGGAGGGGGGGGGGGTAATTTCGATGGTTAATTAGATAGCGTCTAGTCTAGAATACACACAAAATGCTGATACATTATTATGAGTCCATGCATTGTTAATTGTTTCTTTTTTGACTTTTTGTAATTTGGATTTACGTTTTTGTATGTTGTGAATCAAATATGAGAATTCAAGTCAAATTAATGATCAAGAATTTGACAGCTAATGCCTATTTAAGTTCGGAAAAGATAACAAATCATATAGATGTATTATGTATATGTTAACAGAATTTGACTTATTTACTTAAAATAAGCTTTACGGTTCATGTACATGATGTATGATGAAGCATAATAAACTGTTGACAGCTAATCAGTAAGCCAATATATTTGGTGATACATCAGTCTTTGTTTTAAGTCTGTTTATTATTTAACCATTTTTTTTTCCCCCTGTAAAAGGTCCAATTCTGTTTAGAATATTAGTAATACTTTAAAAGCTTTAAAAGAAAAGTTGAATAATGAATCAAATTTGTTCAAGTATAATATGGTAAGTTGTGCACCAAAGATGTTCTTGAATTCTGTTGAGGCAGTTTTAATTTCAACATTTTTCTAGCATAGAAATAAGGAGATTGGTATGATTGCCAATGAGACAACTATCCTCCAAAGACCAAGGTCACTGTTCTTCCTTCTACAATGAGAAAAACCCATAACATATATAGTTAGCTACAAAAGGAATGACAGAATGTGAAACAACCAATGATTCCAGATTCCTGACTTGAAACAGGTATATATATTTATGACTTTGACTTTTTCTTTAAGCTAACATGTATCCATCGGATGATGATCCTTTGAATAAACCTTTTCTAAAAGTTTATCAATTTAACATTGTTCATGTGCTAACATCTTAGAATATAGAGCTTTATGTTACAAAGTTTCTGTCTGTCATATGCCCATTGTCCTTGACCTTATCATGGGACTTTTTTGGGCATCTGAAATATTAACTTTTTATAAGCATTGATGAGTAATAGGATAATCATATTTGGTATACAGGATCCTTGCAAGTTAACTTGTCCCTCAGACAGGGTTCACCTGACCTTGAACTCATTTCACGTATCAGTGGTATAGGTTTTATAATCAAGTCAGTGTCTCAAATACTATAAGCAATAGGTCATTTATATTTGATGTATTGAAAGATTGTAAGATGTACATGTCCGACTGGTAGGTTTCATTGGACATTGACCTCATTTTCATGGTTCATTGGTCAATATTTAAGCTTTTGTGGTTTGGTCTTTCTTTTCTCAGAAACTATAAGCCAAAGATCAGCTGTATTTGGTGTAAGGAATGATTGTAAGGTGTACATGTCCTTCTGGCAGGTTTAGTCTGACCTTGACCTTTTTTCTTGGCTCATTGGATAATGTTATTTTTTTCTGATTTGGTCTATTTCCGAGACACTTTAAGTAGTAGGGCCACTTTATTTGGTATATGGAATAATTGCTAGATGTATATGTATGTCTGGCAGGTTTTACATGTATCTAACCTTGACCTCCTTTTCATGGTTCATTTGTCAATGTTAAGTTTTCACATTTATGTGGGTTTTGCAGATATATAGGTAGAAGCAATAGGTCAACTATATGGCATATGGAATGATCGTAAGGTGTGCATCTCTGTCTGGGAGGGCTCATCTGACCTTACCACATTTTCTTGATTTATTTGTCTATGTTAAGCTTTCAGGTTTATGTCTGTTGCACATGTTGCGCAGATACTATCAGCAAAAAGTCAACTTTAGTTGGTGAATGAAATGAATGCATGGTGTACAAGGTGTCTAGCAGGGTTTATATGATCTTGACCTCCTTATTATGGTCCATTGGTCAATGTTCAATTTTCCTAATTATGTCTGTTTCAGATAAAATAAACAATAGGCTAATGTATTTGTTATATGGTATATGGTTACCAGATACGAATGTGAGGTGTGTTCACGTGTCTGCTGGGTTCATCTAACCTTGACCTCATTTACATGGATAACTGATAATGTTATCTTTATATGATACTTGTAGTAAAACCTTCATGAATTCAATTATGAACAGAAAAGCAGGAGACATTTCAGCATGTGCACTCTTACACAAATAAAAAGATACGATATGATTGCCATTGAGACAACTCTGCACCAGAGACCAAATGACATAGAAGTTAACAACTATAGATCACCGTACAGCCTTCAAAATTTTTTTATAAGTTGCCATTGGCAACTAGCTTTCAATAACTGCTAGTGCTCTCAGATGGACACTTAATGTGTTTAGTGTTTTTGTTACGATCTAATCGGTGAAACATGTCTCCCAAACGCCGATCTAATCGGTGAAACATGTCGACCAATAGAAGATGCAGTTTTCTTAAGTGTTGTTGTCAATTTAGCGGTGTTAATTGTTACTGTAAATTCAGAAATTAATGCGTTCATTTATTATTGCGATTTTAAAATGTGAGATTAATTATTGCGATTTCAGGAAAAACTGCATACGGATATATGTGTCAGATATCAGAATGTGAGTTCTTATTATTGCGATACTCACCCAGTCACAATATGCGCATTAATGAAAACCTCGCAATAATTTCTGATTTTACAGTATTTGTTTTTGTGCTTTTGTATTGATTTGATGAGTCAAGCCCTTGTCACTGGTTTTGTATTGCCTCAACAAAGTCATGAAGGAGAGACTTAGGGGTGCTGTTTCTGGCTTAGGGGGCAGAGTTAACAATTTGTTAAAGTTTGTGATTAGGTCAGTGGAACCACTAATGATAAGTCAATGATAATAAGTCGAATTGACACATATGTCATTTCCATGAAGATCATTAGGCCCCACCCCCTCAGTCATGGGTCTGTTGACTTTGAAACTTTTGCTTATTTGAAATGATGAAGTTTGTGATTAGGTCAGTTTAAGGGATCCACTAATGTCAATAATGTGTTGTAATCAGTTGTATTAGCATATTCAGTGCGACAGGGTTGCCATAACCAGCCAGCTTATAGCCTTTCTATAACAGAATGGTGTTGACCTTTCCAAACTGTAAGGTATAGGATCCAATGATGCAGCTGACTTGTCAATATTGGTGAACAAACTGGTGTATCCCAGTTCCTAAAAGAGAGCAGTCCCTTCCTGATAGAGGTGCACTGTGTTGTTCATCTTTTAGCCCAAGCATGTGTTGATCTATCCTAAGAAATCTCAGAAATAAAATTTGTGGAGAGAATCATAGTAACAGTCCACACATTGTTCAAGAGGTCACCATCCAACCTGTCAGAGCTGCATTCATGGCAGATAATCTTAGATGATCCACAGCTGAAGCCGATAAATGTCCACGTTGTCCAGTGGTTATCTATGGTCCATGCATTAGACGGTCTAGTGTTCCTGTTAAAGACTTTGATCAAAACAGGCACCTGATTAGTTGCAGTCTAACCGTCAAAGACAAGTGTATCAGAACAACAAGCTGAATGCTTCCTCTAAGCTAATGAACATTAGATAGATTTTTATTTGTTTGTTATAGAAATTATTGAATATTGATATTCTGTCATTCCTAGAATATTACAGTGCAATTGTTTTTGATTGACTTTTTGTAATTGTGTACAAACTTCTGTTCAGATAAATTATTTATTTATTTGAAACCATGAAATTATCATTTTATTCAATTGTTAACTTTATAACAGACTTGAGTTATTTTTTCAAAAGAATGTTGAATCAAATATTTCTCTTCTTGTGCCTCATTTAGTTAACAAGTTGAATACGCATTTATCTTGTTGTGTATAAGATACACACTTACATTCATCAAGACAGAAGCCATTTATTTGTACATGCAAAAAGAAATTTATATGTTTATATGACTTTATTTGTAAATCTTGCCTTTTTATCACTCTTTTAACTTATGCAAATTTCAAAGGTTATGGATATAATCTTCATGATGCAATACACAACAACAAAGCACACACATATAGTGATAGTGTTCCAAGTTAGAGACATTGGTTTTAGTTCAAGTTTTACTGTGTTATACTACTTGTTAGACCCAATCCTTCTGAAAAATGGACTTTACTTGTCCCTAGACAAGACTTGTCACCCTCATAAAAGTGCATAATTATGCGTCCTGATTACATAATACAGTTGCAAAATGACCAAAATAGTTTCTGAAAATTTCTTGATCTTGATTAGCAGGTCTCATATAGATTATTTGGCCCTGCCCCTCAGTCATGATCTATGGACTAAAATTTTAGCATAATTTGCATAATATAGTTTGTAAATACATGGATTAGGTCAGTTTAAGGGAAACCACTATAATTGGTGAGTTGATCAATGATATGTGGTATGCATTTCTATAAGCATTAGCACATCTCATATCCAGGAAGATTATCTTGCCAGCTCCCTCAGTCAACTGTCATGGTCAATTGACTTTGAAACTTTGGTATAATTTACATGTTAAGGTTTGATAAGGTCAGTTTAAGATGAACCATTAATGGTAAGTCAATGATATTTGGTATTCAGTTGCATTTGTACATCTCATTTCTAGGGAGATATCTCGTTTAGAGCTTTTGCATATCTTACATGTTAAGTTTGTGATTATGTAAGCCTTTAAGGGAAGTCAATAATATATGGTATAAAGTAGTACAAGGATTATCATTTCTCATTTCCACAGTGCCTTTTGTCATGGTTCATTTTCTTTAAATGTTTCACATAGTTTACCTGTTAAAGTATCGCAATTTTAATTTCAGCATTTGCATTTAAGTGTAAAAATTACATACTGTGAATTCTTTTTTTATTTCTCGTGGGTTTCTTGGTTAGAGAAAAAGTTTTATTTTTGTAGATGATTGATTTCGTAGTCTTTCAAAAGTCTGCATACAATCCTATAGAAAATTTGTACTACCTTGAACATTTAAATTTGTAGTTCACCTTTACCCTTGAAATCCTCAAAAATTGGTATCTCAAGAATTATAATGAATCCACAGTACAGGTGAGACATACCTCTGTGTCAATAATTTATTATAGTGTGTTCTTATGTTATGCTGTTACACAACTGTCCCAGGTAAGGGGAAGGGTTTAGTGCCACAAACATGTTTAACCCTGCCACATTCTGTATTTGCCTGTCCCTATTCAGGAGCCTGTATTTCAGTGGTTGTTGATTATTGCTGTATATCATATATGTTTTTTGTTTGTTGTTTTGTGCATAAATCAGGCCATTGGTTTTCTTGTTTTGAATTGTTTTACATTTTGTCATGTCAGGGTTTTTCATAGTTTGCTATGTGGTATGGATTTTGCTCATGGTTGAAGGCTGTACAGTTACCTATAGTTGCTAACATCTATGTCATTTGATCTCTGGTAGATAGTTGTCTCCTTGGCTGGTAATCATACCACATCTCCTTATTTTACAGTGGTAAAAATTTTTTGTGCCTTAGTTGAAGTTTAAAAATTTTACCATAATAAAATAAGCTGTGATATGATCGCCAATGTTGTTGAATGTAAACTTGCTTTTGATTTAAGCAAATTCTGGTTTGTCATGCAAGAGTTATAGACTTTTAACAGTCATATTTGACACAATATCTATATGCATAAGGGTATCCTCATGCATGTTATTCTACAAAGTCGTTTTATTTGCATCTGATTATATGTGTTCTAAATATCCCATTTTATTTTTGAAACAATTTCAATATGCACAGTAAGGGTGTACCATACACTCTTAACAGAGGCAGATTTAGGGGGTGCCCAGAGTGAAAATGATACATGATACATGTTAGGTATTAAGCCCCAAATCTAGGAGTGAGGGCTATATTGCATTCATCATGTCTGTCTGCTCATCCATTTCTTCCAACAAATGTAATCTTCACACTCAGAACTAACTAAACACAATGACTTCATATTTGGACAGCATCCTGACTGTGATGAGTTGTAACATGTGAGCCCTTCTGTTTCTGTCAGATACCTACTTCCTGTTTACCAATAATTTGAATTTTTCAAATTGTTGGATAAAATGTTTTAAAGATTCACACTTTTCACAAATTGTTCAGAGTCTTATACAATTTCAGCCTATGCTAAAATTCATTGAGGTCTGACAGCATTTTGTAAATTCTGACATAATATATATTAAATATAGCTTAATCCTTCAAGCGCCACTTTCTTTTTTTGATTTAGATATAATTGGAATGGAAGCCCCCTGTATATCAGCAAACCGGATACAGACTTATTTAAAGCATCACAAGGAAAATGCCACAGTTGTGGTAGTGAACTTGTATATGAGTTTCAAATAATGCCAGGACTAATAACCAAACTTAGTTTCAACAAAAAAAAAGGTGAGTTCCACTGTTAACAGTTAAAATTACAGGCAGAAGAAAATAATCTAATGATTAAAAAAAATAATTCCAATTTACTCCAGTATGTTTGAGTTATTTTTCTATGGTCTTAGTTGATATGCTCAAAAATTGCCAGAGTTCTGCAACATAAATTTTTCATATGACCAAATAAAACAGTTCAGCTTGAACCAAACTATGCCTAATATAAAAATAAGGAGATGAGGTATGATTGCCAATGAGACAACTATCCACCAAAGTTCAAATAAAGTGGATGTAAGCAATTATAGGCAACCGTACGGCCTTCAACAATGAGAAAAAGGCCATACCGTAGAGTCGGCTATAAAAGGCCCCAACATGAAAAATATGAAACAATTCAGTTGAGAAAACTAACAGCCTAATCTATAACAAAACAACAAAACTTATGAAAAACAAATAATTATGACAGACATGAACCAATGACAACCAATAAACTACAGGCTCCTGACTTGGGACAGGCAAATAAAGAACTATCAAAATCAGTTGAAAATGGCTTAAATCATCAGATCGATACAAAATCAAACATAAAGGTGTAATACCGGTACCACTATTGATTTTCCCCTATTAGTCTTTGTTAAATTTGCACTTTTCAAAAAATTGTGCAGAATTTATCTTTGTTTCAAATAAAGAAATACTTGGCAAGAGTAAAGCTTTATCCTGTCCAGTACTATAGACAAAATTTCACATAACATTTCATTGCCTATAAGAAAATAACCATCTCTGGAAGTTAAACAATCAAGTTTTCACCTCTTTTTTACCTGTGTGCAAGCTTTAGTAACCATGTAACCTCAAGTTTCCAAAATATTCTATAGAAACCCTAAATAAAAAATAATGGTGCTTTGAAATACCCAAGATATATGTTTATGACCCAGAAATTTTTTACTGCAATGAAATGTAGGATAAATTACCTACAATTGTCAAATTCAAGGGAATATTTTTTTACGACCCTTTTTCATATGCAACCGGATGTGACGTACTATGATTTGGTGGTATTACACCTAAACACAGACCGGACCTGGCAGGGTATTTATCCATCCCTCATCCCTAACAACAAAAAGGACACTAAGTACAGATCTGAGAGTATTAGCTGTTACTGACAGCTAGTTCAAATCCAATAATAACTAATAAAAAAAATCATGTATCTCAGACTAAAATATCAATCAGTACACATCCAACATCCAATCTAATGTCTAGTTTCAAAGTTATATTTTCTTGCTTTGCAATTGAGAGTATAGTTCTAAATCACTATACTGTGGTAAACTGTAACCATCTTGTCTGTCCATCCATCAATCTGTTCATTCATTCCTCTGTCCATCTTTAACATGCATAACATATTTCTCAGTTTCTGTTTAAAGAATGATGTGAAAGTGATTTGGAACTTTTGGTCCTTGTTCGTTTTATCAGTACTTCAAAGAATCACAATTGATTTTTTTATTCAATATTTGAAAGAATAAGTAAGACTGATTTGAATGGCTAGATAACAGACTTTGTCCTCTGTCATAGCTAACTTCTGTCTCATATTAAAACCTTATTAGCAGCAAATCTTTTGTCACATAGTTTTCAGCTTCCGTATAAAGGAATGATTTGATATTTGGCCTCGATCTTTATTATGATGAGTTGATCTGTGTAGGCAATTTTCAGGTCTGACAGGCAATTGTTTCCTCTTTGAAGGTACTTGGATTTTTTTTTTGCATAACAAGCATTGTTATTGTCATAATAATGAAGGAAAATACTTAGCAAGACATGGTATGGTGCACAACTCCTTGTTTTTAAATATCATTGTATTCTATAAAAGAGCAAGGAAGTGACAGTACATAGTAAGAAGTAAGATAACCAAATCAAACAATAAACTTTATTAAAAACAATGAATTTAAGTTTGGCTTCAAATAAATAAAGTGTCCAGTGATTTTGAGCATCAACAAATGCATATAAATCCAAATTAAGTCTGGCAATAAAAACTTCACAAAATGCTGTATTGTGATATATTTATCTTTTTCTTTTTCAGGCACTGGTATAGAATATGGAACAGTAGTTATATACACATGTAAAGCAAGTTGTTGGACTGAGTCAAATAACTGTCATACTGAACATGTATTTATACAGTCAGATCCTGACCAGCATTTGTTGAAATAATTGTATAATAAAACCATCTGATGAGATAATTGCTTACACCTCTTATTCATATAGATTTCTGATAAATTGTATTCATGAATAAACATGACATATTAGCCTCTGGATATAAGAGCGGAGGAGAAATTCAGTGTTACCCTTGTCCCTCTGTATGTCCGTCCGTCCCAAAATTAGTTTCTGATCTCTAACTTTTAGTTTGCCTCAACTAAATGTAATCAAACTTATACACAATGCTTATAACCACAAAACACAGATCAAGTTCAAATTTGGGTTCTTGAGTTATGTCCCTTTATAACTAAATGCAAGTGGGGGCATCATCTGTGTCCCATGGACACATTCTCTATTTATTTATACTTAAAATTAAAAAGGGCCATATTCATCACCACAAAACGTTTGACTTATTGCTACTTGTGCTGTTTTATCTTCATTGACATTTATCCATTGATCTACACACTTGGCCTAATAAATCAACCTTAACTTTATCAAATCTCCTCAAGTTATATACAAAAAGTTTGAACAAAAATACTGAACTCAAAGGTAATTTCAAAAAAAAGGGAAATCCATAAAACTAAACAAAATCAAACACTTGAATTGTCAACCAATGGAACAAATGGTAAACAACTGTCATATTCCTGACTTGGTACAGGCATTTCCAAAGAAAATAATCAAATATTCCAGGAAAAAAAAAATCCAATTAATTTTGCAATACATCTGAAGACTTTCAGAACAAATGCAATGCTTCCCTTTACTTCAGATGTTTATAAAATGTCACTGTAAGCAAAAAACTATTATCACAATTTTGTTAGAAAATCCAAAATGAGTGCCATTTAAATGCTACTGACTCCACTGGGATGACACGCTTTGATTATTTTACGCTTGCTTTCATGAACAGCAAGCATTCTTTGACACAGTATAGTAGTTATCTTGGTGTAATCAGGGGTGTACAGAATTTTCAACAACGGTGTAAAATTCCGTACACCCCGGATACACCAAGATGACGAATTTATTTCTTATGAACAATTCCTTCACCCATTTGAAACCGGGATGTAAAATTGAAAAATGCTAATGAAAAATTTCCAGTGTAACATTTTTTCAACGTCGATGTTTCTGCGAATTGTTAAATCCTTTTTTTCTTTATTTTTGGGAAATTCAGAATTTTTTTGTGTTCTTTTGAATTTTCGGGAAAAAAAATTAAAATTATTTTTTTTTTTAAATTTTGTCCTCAAATTTATTCATTTTTTATTTTTTATTTTTTACATTTTATTTTATTTTTTTTATTTTTTTTACTTTTTATTTTTTTCTTTAATTTGGCAAAATTTTATTTTTTTAAATTTTTTGGCAAAATTTTATTTATCCCGGGGTGAACAAGGGTGGGGTGTTATTTACACCGGGGTAATTAACCAATCAGATTGCAGTATTTATGATGCATAAGAAATAATGATCATTATTGCTTGTTCTGTTATCTTTGATAACAGTTAAATTAAGTGCTATTTATAGAATAACTAATCGAAGAATTCAAATAGAGAAAAATATTCAACGAGTGACCGAACAACACATTAATTCACGAATGCACGTAGCGCATGAGTTAATTATCAGTGTTGTTCGGTCACGAGTTGAATATTTTTCGATATTTGAATTCTTTAATTAGTTATTCTTTTTATTGTCGAGCCTTCGACTTTTGTCGAAAAAGCGAGACATAGCGATCCTACATTCCGTCGGCGTCGGCGTCGTCGTCGTCGGCGGCGTCCACAAATATTCACTCTGTGGTTAAAGTTTTTGAAATTTTGATAACTTTCTTAAACTATCCTGGATTTCTACCAAACTTGGACAGAAGCTTGTTTATGATCATAAGATTATATTCAAAAGTAAATTTTGTAAAAAAAAAATTCCATTTTTTCCGTATTTTACTTATAAGTGGACTTAGTTTTTCTGCCAGTTAACATTACATTCACTCTGTGGTTAAAGTTTTTAAAATTTCAATAACTTTCTTAAACTATCCTAGATTTCTACCAAACTTGGAAAGAAGCTTGTTTATGATCATAAGATAGTATCCAGAAGTAAATTTTGTAAAAAAAAAATTCCATTTTTCCGTATTTTACTTATAAATGGACTTAGTTTTTCTGCCAGGAAACATTACATTCACTCTGTGGTTAAAGTTTTTGAAATTTCAATAACTTTCTTAAACTATCCTGGATTTATACCAAACTTGGAAAGAAGCTTGTTTATGATCATAAGATAGTATCTAGAAGGAAATTTTGATAAAATTTTGTTCCATTTTTTCTGTATTTTACTTATAAATGGACTTAGTTTTTCTTCCAGTCAACATTACATACATTCTGCAGTTTAAGTTTTTAAAACATTTATTAGATTCATAATTTATCCTGGATTTTTACCAAACTTGGACAGAAGCTACTTACAATCAAAACATAGTATAGAGGGGAATATTTTTATTAATTTTTTTCTTCATTTTTGTTGAGCCTGCGATTAACACCAAAAGTAGGCGAGACACTGGGTTCCGCGGAACCCTTACGAATTTTTACATTGGCAAATGGCTTTTTTAATGAAATTAATGTAGAAAATGAAAGGAACTATATCTTTTTTCTACGCATTCACAATTTGTTTTGATCCGACGTTATCGACGTCTTGACAACGCCTATTGTTGTATGACGTCAGACAGTGAAATAACCACGTTTATTTCACATGTGAAATTATCGGTTTTTATTTGACTGAGAAGTCCATGTAATTCATTGCTACCAATGTAATAATGAACATTTATTTATGATACTTTGGTTATTCCACTAATCAATACAAAAAGAGGGAGGTCTATTGTAACCCCACTACATGTTCATGTGTCTATTTGAAGTCAGAAACATCATTCATGGTTGTCTTGATATATCTTAATGTTTTTTTGTGATTTAGGGAATTTTTTTATTTGACTGTAAATGGTCTGTGTAATTCATTTACATAATTAACTATTTAAAAACCTTTGAATTTTTCCAAATACTAAGGATTTACTACCCCAGAAATAGATTACCTTAGTTGTATTAAGCAAAACCTTTCGGATTTTTGAGTCCTCAATGCTCTTCAACATCGTAAATTATTTAACTTTTTTAGTTTTTTTTATTAGAGCATCAGTGTCTTTTAGACGAAACGCACGTCTAACATACACAGTTTTAATCCTGGTATCTATGATCAGTTGAATTAGACACCAAGATTTAAAGCTAACATCATATTGTGTAGACATTTGTCTTTTATTGCAGAATGTATTTTGACCTTTTCATACTATTTGGTTTTTAGTCCCCTACCGACGAAGTCAAAGGGGACTTTAGGTTTGCACTCCGTCTGTCTGTCTGTCTGTCCATCTGTCAGTCCGGCAAATCAGTTTTTCTCACTTTTTTTTGTCATGCTTGAAGATATTGATTTAATATTTGGTGTATTGTTTTATCATGGATCAAGTCTGAATTTTGTTCTGGTCTGACGATTTTGTGCAGAGTTATGGTCGTTGAACTTAGAAAATTCACTCAAATAATCAGTTTTCCGCCCTTTTTTTTTGTTATGCTTGTTTTTTGTGTCATTGGGTTGCTGTCTCACATTATAATCATATGTTGTAAATTAAGGCAATAGTAATTTACCGATGTTCACATCTCATGAATCAATTGAGAAGACAAATCAAGGTCGCAATAAAAAACCTAGGGAATTGCATGATCCAAAAGGAGCGAGCGTGAGTGTGTGTCAACAGGACAAATGTCTCCTTCATGCTTGCATTACCTGCCATGCAAATTTGTAAACTATGTATTAAAATTTGTAAAAATATGTGACCTATCAGATTTATAGATTCTATGTATTATGGAAATAAATGTTTGGTTCCCACAAAGATTTACTATTTTACAATATAAATCCTTGGTTCCCACTTCCCCAGATTAATCTTTTTGAAGTCTCTTTACCTCTAATGTGAATTTACTTCTTTGATTCTTGATACATCTTTTTCTGCTTAAGAGTTTCTGTATGGGTGTTATAATCACATAAACTATTGGGGATTAATATTATTGCTACAAAATGTCATACCGTTATGAGGTATACATATTTATTCTCTGTGTTGTCCTTCTTTTGATACTTCATAGTTTTGATTGTATTATTTAGCATCATTTATCGCATGGTAATAAATAGTCATTTCTATTGCCGGAAATCTGCAATCAGTATGAGTGAGTGCAAATGAGACAACTCTCCATGCAAGTCACAATGTATAAAAAGTAAACAATTATAGGTCAAAGTACAGCCTTCAACACGGAGCCTTGGCTCACACCTAACAGCAAGCTATAAAGAGCCCCAAAATGACTACTGTAAAACAATTCAAACAGGCAAACCAACGGTCTAATCTATATAAAAAAATGAGAAACGAGAAACACTTATAAACCACACCAACAAACGACAACCACTGAACAACAGGCTCCTGACTTGGGACATGTGTAAACAAATGCAGCGGGTTTAAACGTTTTTAGAGGCACCAACCTTCACCCTAACCTGAAACAGTAGTGTATCTTTACAACATAAAAAGACACACTTTAAAATATCAATTGAAATGGCTTAACACGATCAAAAAGACACATAAACAAAACCAAGTAAACATACACTGAACGAATAAGTTTGATCTGTGTCACAATATAGATACAATATGAATAAAAAAGATGTAGGAACAATGTCAAAAAGACAACCTGGGACAAAATGGTGTTAAATAAAATAACGTACACAGGTATATGTATATATAATAATTTTGTTGTTTATAATAAGAGTACGGAAACATTTTTTACAAAATGAATAAATTTGTATATATAGTTCACAGTACCAGTACAGAATGAAAATTTATCGTCATACTAAATACTTATCAAAGGTGGTACATATTAAAAACAGTGGGATGAGATACATGTATAACACAAAATAAGTAAACATTGAATAACAGAAATGCATTACAAATTGTGTCAACAGATCAAATTAACAAGAAAGTACGATTTGAGAGTACTCACAGTTACTGAAA